TGTTGGCCTAGTGGCTTCAGCGTGCCTCTCTGATCCCTGAAGTCGTAGATTCAATCCCAGGCTGTGCACCAATGGACTTTTATTTGTGCGCATTTAACATTCGCTCGAACGGTGACGGAAAACATCGTGAGGAGACCGGCTAGCCTTAGACCCATAAAGTCGACGGCGTGTGTCAGGCTGATCACCTACTTGCCTAATAGTTTGATGATCATGAAATAGGTACATAAATCTGAGGCCTAGCCCTAAAAAGGTTGTAGCGTCATTGATTTATTTTATTTTTAATTTACAGATTAAACATAACTTTAGTCATTAGTCTTTAGTTATATTTATGCTTTAATCATTAGATGTTTGTGACAAATACCTACCTATACTGTAAGTTATGAATAAAAATATCATAGGTATATAAATAATAGCATGTATTTCAGGATTTTTTTTTTTTAATTGAAATAAAAATTGCTATTTGATATTTACAAGAAATGTTGCTTTTAGGGTTAAACCAATTGCAAATAACAGTGCCGTCACACTTTTTACCAACCAAAAACTACTTTAATTTTCACATAGACAAAGATTCATTGTCTGTTTTCGTAGGGTGATATTCGGAGCATCAGGTTGAGATTCAGAGACCAAGTAGCCAAGCGAAGTTTCCTTAATCATATATATTTAGAAACATTGTTGTGTCAAACTTTGCAAACGTTTCTATTGTTTTTGGTTTCTTGAATACAGACTAATCTTTTTTACTAATCTGTGGGCCGACCAGGCGAACTGACGATTTCGACAAGGAGGTTGGTTCCCAGTGGATACAGAGCCAGTGCATGGCGTACTGGAAGAAAATGGAGGAAGGCCTACGTCCAGAAATGGATCAAAAAGAGGCTGATGATGATGAAATCCAGATAATAATAATGCATTAATTGCAAAAACATATGAAAACCCATGCTAAGTTTGAAAGTGTATAACTGTACGGAGAAAATAGTTGCAACTTCAAAAGTAGTTTTTTTTGGTTATAAACCAATAAACTAATTTTTAACGTAATCATAATAAATAATGTAATGTGTATGAGTCGCCAATTTCCTTCACAAGGCGAAAACTAAGCCCAATTTTACTTCCAGCGTTTCTGATTACTTACAAATATGATCGTATGTGATGGATTTTGACATAGTTCGTGCTAAGACTATTTACGTTTAGCGCTAAGTGTGACTACCGTAGGTCAAAAACGTATTAGATTAGATAGGGTATATCTAGTCAGTCATATATATTTTAAACTATGAACTTACATAAAAAAATAAGTCAAAACGGTGATTTTATTTTTGACAGCTCGACCATTAACTATCCGTACAACTTGTATTATTTACAACTTATTCAAACGAAACATTTTTATGTTGCCGTTACAAATACGGCCATTTCATTTTCATATTTACGAAATTAATCAATTTGAAGTATCACTGCTAAAACCTTTGATTTCAAGTCACACAAAGAATTTCTAGGAGTCAAAAGTCCGGTTTTACTTCAAAATCGATAAGAACTTTGTATTTAGGTAGTTTAACGGTCTAAGCTTTTTAAGTTGGCCGTTTTAAGTTCTTTAAATGACCCTTTTATTTTATTCGTTTAGCTCAAAGTCGTTAAGTCGATACCTGCTCATATAATTCCGATAAGAATCCGATAGGAGTTGATTTATTTATTCGGCAAGTTATCATTCATTGCGATAGAATCTTCGATGTTTCGCTAATGTTTATAAGTTTCTCTGTGTTAGTTACTTAAATGTTAGGAACTTTTTGAATTAGATAATAACTTGGTTAACTTACACAATTAGGACCTAAATCTGAAGAAGAGAAGTAAGAATAATTATAAAGTTACCTAAGTTAATAAAGCATACAAATTACAAAACTGTTCTTTAATCATAAGTAAAACATTACTTGTAAAAGTGTTAAGATAATAACATGACAGAGCTGTATTTGAACCAGACTACAAACTGTAATTCTAATTATTTTAATTAACTGTTATGAATCGAATTAATGTGACTTACGACAAACTTACTTCCTTTTCATATAACTAATATATAAAAAGAATAACAACCAATTAGGTAAATAGGCAGCCTATTTAACAAGTAACAGGAAGTATAAACCTCTGTTTAACTCCTATTAACATCCGTTAATTGCGGAACTTAATCCTACTACTTAGCATCGAAAAGTTTTTTCGATGCCATTGCTAATTAGCATCATGCAGGCGGTTGCCGTACCTTAAAATTAAAATCCACACTTAATTAACAATCCGTTACCTTAAAAGTCAAGTAAATCACTTAGTCATAGGTCACTACACTGTCACAATCACTTCACTGGGTCACCGGTCAGGGGTCACTTCGCGCAGAATCGGATCGCTAAGCACGGAGCATACGACGCAAAGAATGCGTTCAAAGCGGCGCGCCGCGCGTTACTGACGACGGCTTTCAATCGCGCGCATTGGCCGGCCCCGCCCATCTCTGGAACACGCCTCCGACCCCCCTCGACCCTAAGCCGCTCCCCTCGCGATAATATCGAAGCTTTTTGCCGCGCTATCGGACGGAGTTTGATGACAGATAATAATTGGACATTTGCCTCTACTAAATGTATCGTCAACGGAATATGATTGTGATTTTAATCTTTATTGGTGGTTTTTCGTTATATGATTTAACTAAACTTCAGAGACTCAACAGTATAAACATATTTAACTAATTTTTTTGTTCGTACCTAATTGTACAAGAAATTAACATATTTACTTTCCTGCCTAAATATATATTATAATTAGATATTATGGAGACTTACAAAAACTAGATTATCCATTACTATAGGAATGATAATTTTATTAGCAGTGTTAATAACTTATAGCTCTAATCGTAATTACTTATGTACATAAGTAATACATGACTACAATTAAAACAGAATAAGTTAACTATAAATCAATTAAGTTTATTAATCTATATTCTACAAATGTATTTATATTTATATACCGTTTGGTATCCAAAGGCTGACTCCACAACAGCCAAGTACTGATGGGACGAAAGTCACCTCGCAGATTTAAGGGATATAAGACTTATACTTACTTATTATAGACTTTTTCAATCAAATGCTTCGGTTACAGCAGCTAGGACGTGGTACCATAAAATATGGTTGACTACCCAGGATAAACGATACAATTTCCACGATTAACTACTATAATATTTATAGCAACACTTTAAGAATTCAGAAAATTTCCCACAGCTAACCTATGAAATAAGCAAAGACAATTATTTCGCATTTACCTTTAGCTCATTTAAAAAAAAAAATCACATCCTTTAATTATTGAAATTAGGTCATATTTTTTTTAGTTTTTAATTATATTATATTATGTGTGTACTGGGGGGATATATAATTCTCACTAAGCAGGAACCTGGGATACTTGATATTTCGTGGCCAATAAATTAGATAATTTAATTCCTTTCCTCACATTATATCTTTACAGTTATAAAATAATTATTTAAAAATTATATCCATACATCTTTTAAACAACTACTTAGGTAATTATTTCACACGACCTCAATCTGAGTTTTAATGATTTAAAAAAAAGGTAATTGCGATTCATACCATAAAGCAAAAATCTATTATCAAAAGGGGTATATTTGGGAGCGTTTGGGACTTGAGTTGTGTAGGTTAAAGAAAGCAATAAAATGGAATTACCAATGGCGATAACCAAATACTGTCACGAGCTCACCCAAAGAAATTTTCACAAATAATTACACTAAAAAATAACGATTCGTGTCTAAAATTGTCTTATAAGACAAGTAAATATACACTGATATTTTATGCAATACAATCTAATTAAAGAAATAGGTAGATGCCTGCTTTAATAATATAGGTACCTCTATAAAGATTAAAAGGCTTTTAGTAAAATAAATATCAATCATCTTATCAGCAGGCGAAATATCAATCCTGGATCCAATTTCATAATTTACAGACTCTGCTGATCATAGAGTACCTTTCTTCCAATGTAATACTTAAATATATATATAACGTAGATAAACATTGAAAATAACGAACTTGTTAGTTCAACCTTCGTTTTTCTAATAAGTAATTTTATATGCTGTATAAAATATACATTATAAGTATTATATACGTTTTTTCTACTTACTTTTTAAGATTTATTTCCTTATTGGTGATACTCTCTAGGTAGGCTTGTAGTGAGGCTAAACCTCTGATAAGCATTGATTAATATTAAATATAAAATACCACAGCATATCTTAAGTAGGGAAGAAAAACTGACCACATAATAACTAAGACGTACAAGTTACTCTACGCTTGTAGAGTATAGCATTGTTGAACCGACATTACACGCGGGTATTTGAAAAGTAAACAGTCAAGTGTGGTAAAGTCTCTTATTTTTCTCTTCGTCAATAAGGCATAAGTATTATATAAAAATATTCGGGTAAGGTTCTCACTAAACTTGTACTTCCTTTCATACTATTAAATATATATTATTAGTTCTTAAAAAATACTAAAATGTATGTCAGATTGAAATATATATATATCTTTAGCCGATGCACAGAAATGAAAAGTAGTTTCGACTTTAGGCTGGATAATAATGCAAAATATATTACATTTTCTTTGTTGAATCTATTCTGTTTTCATAACTTGGCCTGCCATCTTGTAGCGAATAGCGAAGCATACAATGTAGACGCAGCATTTGTCTGCCCTTGTGATCGTGGTGGTAAGCAAATTTTATTTTCCCATTAATCTTTTTTTGTAATTGATTTGAAATGTAATTTATTAATTATTTTGATTAAATATGTAATAATATATCATTAAAAATCTAATACAGTATCAGCTGACAATTCACATTTATGACCTTTGACAATTAACACAATCAAACAGACGTTTTCTACGCAAGTAGACGCGAGACATTGTAGCGATAAATAAAAATAATATATCGTTAATAATTTTTCAAAAAAATGTGTATCAGATATTTTGCAGTCAAAAAAAATACGTGACAGTGCCATGAATCCGCTTAATATAGCTGAATGGTCTCCAGACCAAGTGTCGGAATGGATGTTGGGTATGTGTAACTTAATGTCTGCTTGGTGAGTCACCAAAGTTGTGATAAATGTAGGATCTGTTGCTTCAGGTCTGGGGCCGATGGTCTCCCAGTATTCTCCGGAGTTTATCAAGAAAGGTGTCAATGGGGCTAAACTGCTGACTCTGCGGTGTGACGACTTAGAGTACCTTGGAATTCAAGTAATTGGTCACCAGGAGCTTTTATTAGAAGCTGTGGAGCATTTGAGAAACTTTGTGAGTTTTAATGACGCCTTTTTAATAATAGCATATATGAAATGAACAAGAACGGAATAAGAAAATAATTTGAAAATATAGGTAATTTTCTGAATATCGGTGTTTTGTGTGTTTTTTTTGTGATTTCACACTTGTTTTAACTCTGACAATGTTTTTGGGACAAAAGTTTATTAGGAGAGTCAACATAATTATGTTGACACCATGTTTTTTATTTTGATTTATCAAATTTGCACTTTGTTGTGACTACTAACTATATTAATAGTTGCTCAAAAAATAATTTATCCAAAACTACAAGATTTGAAAGTGGCCTAAGTAGCAGAAGCCACTGCAACTTGTCTTGGCCTGTAAATGTTTATTTTATATATTTTTTTGTATCTACATTGTCTATTATATGAGGCTGAAATTGATAAAGATGCATTTGATTGTTACTTTTGGAGGGACCAGTATTGGCCTAGTGAGTTGACATTCAATTCTCAACTGTTCAAACCCCAGTTCAGCACCAAAAAACTGAATGACATGTGTCTTGCCTTGGAGACCGAACATGTACTTAATTACTTAGAACTGTCAATGAAACACATTTTCGTTGTTTACATCATTCGATAGTATTTACTCATATTTAGTAGTTCTCTTTGTAAATACTATCCAAAGAAATGGATTCAATACAGGAAATACCAGTATAATGATGTAAGGCAAACCTGTAAAAAAAGTTATATAAGTATGGAAGTAACAATAGATGTTACAAGCAGTATGTACTGTGTAATTTTTTCTATTAAATAACCGTCTACCTTAGTATATCTCAATAATGACTGCTATTAAAAGTATTAGCTACAACTTAGATGTTGGTGTATGTTTTCAAGCAGGTTTATTCTCTTTGTAATGCTTATTATGGCGGTTTCTCAGGTTAAATCTGGTACATTATACAATCTGAGTTAGTTCATAGTTTCCTCTTGAATTCTCTATAAGCACAATTGGGTGTATTTAAATATTTAAGTAAGCAATTATTAATCAGCAAACAAATAAGCTAACTAAAATTTGCTCATTTCTATTGTTAAAGTTGACATGATTAATATATTTGGTAGGGTTGTCACTACATATTGGATGACTTAACTGAGAACAGCATTTGCAATATAACCAATATTTGCCTTTTTGCATGCCATTACAAGTTAAATTTGATCCAGTTATTTCTAGGAGATTGTGTCTTATTTTAAAATATTATCTTACCAGATATGCATTTGAACCAAGACATGTGTCATTGATCTACCATTATGAAAATCATCAGTTTTATTCATTTTTGTTGGTTTGAAAATAATATTTTATTCTACACTCTTAATAAGATTGGTTATTCAATAAAAATTGTTTTATATGCTCTCATTGTACATTAAAAAGAAGAAATTATGATTTATAACTTGTATTAATTTATAAACTAAAATTCCAGCATTATGAGATATCTCGGGAGTGTGTCCAGCAACTAGCTCTTCGTGTATCAGCTGCCGCTGCATCTTTGGCACGAGCGTTGCGCCATCACGCTGACACTCGTTTGGAGACACATTCACTTGCTGATGTTGCCAGGACTGTGCATGCGGTTAAGCCTTTGGTATGCTGGCTCGACAGGTGTGAACATATTATTTTGTTTGATTAATGTATCATTTACATAGTTACATGCAATATCTAGTGATTAAGTGTAGAAGTTCTTTTTATGTCACTGTTGGAGGCAATGTACGAGAGATATTTATAAAGCTAAGTTGTCCTGTGGAACATTAGAGTGTTACAATATAACTTAGCACACTAAATAAACAATATATTATTATGTATACATTCACAAATGCAACCATTTTTTATTATTATAATTGTTGGTTTTTAACAAAATTTAATAAGCAACATGAATATTCATATATAGACTAGCTGACCCAGCAAATGTTGTTTTGTCATGTATATATTTTGTATGCTGTATCATAAAAAAATATAAACAAAAAAAATGTCTAAAATATAAAAAAAATTGTTTGGGGTGGACAACCCTTATCACTTATGGGTATGAAAAATAGATAGTAGCCGATTCTCAGACCTACTGAATATACATATAAAATTTCATAAAATCATTCAAGCCGTTTCGGGGGAGTATGGTAACTAACATTGTGACACGAGAATTTTATATATAAGATGAGACTTGTTTTTCATGTTTCACAACCGAATTCCAGATGGCCTCTCTGCTCGGGGGCTCCTTTAGCGGAGAGGAAAGCGGCCTTACTGAAGTTATCCTTGGAGGCTGCCACTTGTGCGCAGAGGGACAGGTTTGCAGAACAACCGGCTCGTGCCGTCGCCGCTGCGGCCGCCGCAGCCGCCGCTGTCGCTGATTATATCATTCAGGTATAAATCTTAAAAGAGAGTTCTTTTCTGCCAAGGAGACGAATCTATCTATTTATTTGTGTCCGTTTAAGATGATGAAAAGCTGTTATTATTTCCTGTATGTGTTTTAGGAATGCATTATCTTTAGAAAAGATTATAGTTACAGTTTGAGTTAATTTGTCCGAATACTCGTACTTGACTTGTGGTCCAGCTCTGGGGTGCTCGAGTAAGAGCTACATTCATATAATCCAACTGTAAAGGCCGGTATGCCGGTATGCCGATAACTATATAATATATGAAAGGCTTATAACTAAGAACCTAATAAACTCTCGCATGCCTAAAACCTAGACCTAAGATAGTAATACATAAATTGTGAATATATAAATATATTAATAAGAACGTGTATGTGGAAGGAAGTGAAAAATAAAGAAGACGGAGCAATGTTCTTTGATTTATTGTGTATCAAACAGTATATCCCTATTACACATACATAAATACAGCTCTTAAAATTTGGAACTGCCACATGAGCTGTGTCCTCAATTGATCAATGTTGCCAATGTGCTCCCTGGCGTATTCGTAATGACGACCTCCAATCACAAAGAGACTCCACCATCCCGAGAATGTCGGGGCTATTCAAGTTTATTTATTTCCTATTATTACAGTAACTCAAGTACTAATACAATAGAAAACTTATTAATATAAATAAACTAAAGACATAAACGTAACAAGAATTAATTATAAATGCACTTCTTGTGAATGCAACTAAATATATCCGTCTCATATGCAATAATATTCAGGGTGCACAAGACACGCGTAAATGGTGCTTCCCTGAGTAAATGGGTACGCGCCCGAGACATTGCAAGCAATTGCGACCGATTACCACGCCTAGTGTGGGTGTTTATTTGGCACACGCGGTCTCCAATATTTCCGCATTATAATATATTCTACCTCTAAGGACCTTATTCAAATTCAAATTCAAAAATCATTTATTCACGTAGGTAACACAATGTACACTTGTGATTCGTCATTAAAGAAATACATATTAATGCTTCTAATTTTACATTTACTGCCAGTTCTCAAATCAAGGGCGTAGAACGGAAGAGAAGAACTGGCAATAAACTCTCCACCACTCTTTTTAATCGCCATGTTTTTTTTTACACAACGTTTGTAAGGAGCTGCAACCATTACACCATGTTCCGCATGATATCTTAAGTAATTAATAATAATAACATAAATTAAAAACAAAGACTTGTCCTCTATCAGCAGGAGGCATGGTGAAATAGGAGCACGCACTTACATTCTCGTGGGAACAACACGCAAACACATAGTCGAAATAATTAACATCACCGCATACACGAATTCAAGTACGACCAGTCACCACAAGTAGCACCCGTTCACGAGTATGACGCATGGCCAGCCATCGGCCCCCTCGCCATATTTTAGGGAGAGAGACAACCCGACGCATGGACGCCGCCACTTAAAGAGACATATCGTTGTATCCTTCCATATCCAAGACAAGCAAAGTGGGATACATAACTGGGTACACTCGATACGACCTCATGTAAATGTATCCCTTAAATTGATTCTGAATAGGCTCCACCATTAAAGAGTATTTTTTTCCTGTGGGGCCTAAATCATAGCTACATTCCAAGTTCATGACACCAGGGGCCCAATCGGAAGGTCGAGAGGGAAACCATTCGAAGGGCCCTTTTCACTTTCTTAAGATATTCAATACTTTCATTAGTAAATTATTCTTCTCTTTATGATATCAGTGTAGAGCAGATTCACTTGAATCGCATCTGCTCATTAAAATATTCGATTACAGGACGTGTCGGACCCCTTGATCCTGCAGCCCTCGTGGGTGGACACCGTGACTCTGCGCCAGGCCGGCAAGCCCCTGGGCTTCCACGTGCTTCCCTCCTTCTGTGGCCATCATCAGATAGCCCACATACGCTTCGGATCCCCCGCCCACGCTTCGGGGCACGTTCACGAGGGAGACGAGATCGTCCAGGTTCTTATTTAATGAATAACAAATTCTTGGTAGATAGATGAAGCGAGAGAAATATGTCAGGACCACAGCAAGTGCAGATCCGTGGTCTCTGAATACCCCTTCAGGAAGAAAGCGACTTAGTAGATAAATACTTAAGGATATATTAAATAAAAGTAAAAACTCGCCAAGGACTTTATGAAAACAAAATTAAGTTTTAATTATGTTAGTTACAACTTGTCAAGAGATGGCGCTTTTTTTCCAATAAATATATATTCACTGTTAAGTATAAAACTGGTAGCTTTAATTACAAGGTACTTTATTTGTTCTAGGCTTTTCTAAAACTTTCTTATCTACATTCTCTTATAGCCCGAAAAAAAATGAAATAAAATTGAAAAGTAATGGAATCGGTATAGGTAGGCGACGTATGCGTGCTAGGCTGGAGCGGAGAGGCCGTGGAGCGCGCCTGTGCCGCCGTCGCCGGTCGGGCCTCGGGCGAGTTGGTGCTGCGCCTGCGCCGGAGAGGGGCCCGAGCCCTCCCGACGCCCCCCCTCCACACGCGGGCCCCTCGGCCCCGGGCCCATCGCCTGAGGCTGCCCCCGCTGTCGGACCATCGAATGTTGCACAGGTGATCTTGACTTTTCTTGTTAGTAATTGTTTATAATATTTATTCGGCAGCGTTTTAATTTATATAATAAATAGTTATATATTTACAACGCTTATTCCAAATATCATTATGATTTGAAAAAAAAAACATTTCGAAGGTTCTTAATAAGGAACAAACTTTCGCGAATATTTCATACGTGTTGTGTCTGTACAAAGATAGAGAAACCGCTGCACCAGCTTCATCATCGACCTGGACGTCCGCCGTTCCACAATTGAGCGTATTTCAAGGCAGTTCTCCGAACCAATTCGACTTAGGGTCCTTCAAGAAAAGAGCGTACCAATTCTTCAGGTATTGAGAGTGTCCATGGGCTTATCTCTTAACATCAAGTGAGTCTTCTGCCCGTTTGCCCCATTCTATAAAAAAATAATAAAAAGAGCGTGCGTACAAAGTACTCATGTCACAAGTGAAACTTCTTTGGTAAACTAATTTTTAATTTAATATATATTTATGCAAATCTAAAACTCTAGATTTCCGAGACTTCCGACGCTCTTCTCACTCTCTCTCAATCTGTCTCGATCGCTCTCTCCCTTTTCTTCGACAAAAACGCTGCACATCTTCGTGACGTTCCGTAAAAATGTTACCCTCGTGCGCCTAAAGAAATTTCACTTCAAAAACTGCAAAATTCGTTGTTGACGCTGGTTCAAATATAACATCACTAATATTTTGTTACTTGATAAAATGAATATTGTAAAATTTCTGGTTCCTTCTCTAATATACATTAAAGATTTTAGATTTTGTCTCTTTACCTCTCTTTGACTCTCATTTTTTCTCCTTTTTATTCAGATTTATAAAACATTTCCAGATACGAGCTGGATTTCCCGATAGTGGCGAATCCGCCGGCCCTGCCCCGTTCCCCGGTGGAGGAGAAGGAGGAGCCTCCCCCTCACTCCCCCGCCTGCTCCCCCGAATGCTCCTCGGACGAGAGCGAGCCCCTCTCTCCCCCCGCCTCGCCCACGCACCTGCACCTCGACAGGGCCCGGTATGTTTATTTATTTATTTATTTTGTAAACCTACAGCTAACATAAATTATATACAATAGCAAACAGTTACATTAAAAATATAGCCAAATATGGATTACATAATAATACATTTAACTAAAAAATGGTTCAAGAATTTATAAAAGGAAACAAACAAATAAAAACTATTCAATACGTTTATCTAAGTGGTACCTAATTTGGTTGTTTGTATGATGGTGTAAAAGTGAGGGTAAGTACGTGAAGGTGTGTAGTGGGGTATGCTCATGATGGAGGTGATTTTGCGCTATGGATATTCTTAATATTTCTTTTAATCATATTCCGCGACAGCTTAAACAGGTCAAGGCTTAAATATTGTTCGTTGTATGTCCGGGCTGCGCGATACAAAACTGAGTTCCTTGCATAGTTAGTGTTAATGTGAGGAACATGGAACAAAGCACGATTACGAGTCTGGTAGGCAGGAACAAGGAAGGGCAATTTTTCTAAAGGGAGCTGCAATTAATTTATGAGATGATGTCATGTAATAGCAATAAATCATATTGTTTTCGTCGAGAGTCTAAAGTATTAATTTTAAAATGTTCACACGCGTCATTATATGTATTAAACTATTGTAGTCTTATACGAGATAAATTTTATGAAGTCTTTTGGATCTTTTCAATTTTTTCTTTGTGTACAGTGTAACTAGGTGACCAAACAGAGCAACCATATTCGAGAATACTTCTTACGTATGTATAGTATAGCACTTTCATACAGTCGACATCATGAAAATGTTCACTAACACGTCTTACAAAACCAAGCTGCTTATAGGCCTTTCACTTGTCAATATGGTTATTATACGTCATTTTATAGTCTAACCATATACCTAAGTCACGAACACTCTACTTCTTTTACAGATTTGTTATTAATATGATAGCTAAAGTTAATTTTGTTTTTTTTTCTGGTGAATGTTATTTTGACACATTTAGAAACATTAACCGATATTCGATTTTGTCTATAATAATTGGAAAGGTTATTTAGGTCGGCCTGAATTTTGTGACAGTCTCCTTCTTTGTTTATTTTTAAATATATATTTTTATCATCAGCGAACTTAAGGTAATTTGAATCTTTAATGGTACTATTATGTCATAAAATATCATTGTATAACCAATATAGATCCTTGAGGAACTCCAGAACTTATACGAACAAAGTCACTTCTAGCACTGCCAACGCAACTGCCTGTCTACGATTTGTTATATATGAACAAAACCAGCGATGAAGGTCACCACGTATCCCTAGAAGTTGGAGCTTATGTAATAGGATGGTGTGATCCACTCTGTCGAAAGCCTTCTCAAAGTCTGTGTAAATTACATCAACCTGTCACCACTCCTACTTTGCAGTACATAGTTCGTAAACACGTTAAGTTGGTTATCGTAGAACGTTTATTGATAAAACCATGCTGTTCATCGGGAAGTGAATTACTTATTATATTGTGGATGGCTTTATAAATTATCTTTTCAAAGACTTTACTGAAAGTATTAAGTATCGATTGGTCGATATTTTCAATACTCAACCCGAGCCACTCTTATGAATAGGTATTATTTTAGCTTTTCCATACATCAGGATAAATGCCAAATGTGTTCACGGATAAGTTCTGTATTATGTACAGTGGTTCTGTAATAGCTTGAGCACATTTATTGATAAAAATAGGTGGTATACCGTCATACCCAGCTCCTTTTTCCGCATTTAATGAATTTAGTATCTTCAATATATCAAATTTGGTAATATTTAGATTACATATAATATTGTCGGTTACTTCCGCATTAGTCTGCAGAATTTCATGGTATGAAGGTGCTGCTTGTTGAAATACGCTCTCAAAGAAAGTACTAAATCCCGTGCATGCTTCCGATTCGTTATTATATATATTGCTTCCTAATTGTAATCTATTTGGATAGCCAGTGTTATTAATTCGTAAGGTTTTTAGATATGACCAGATTTTCTTTGGATCTTTCTTTAACGATGTTTGTATTTTTTGCATTGCAACTTAAAACATTTTTTTTGGACTGCCTTCTGTCTTGAACGTAGTAAGGAAAACTCATCGTAATCTCGTGGGTTCCCTCTTGCTTTCCATCGAGAGTGAGCGGTTCGCTTGTCGCGTATTATGTGTATGAGTGACTTAGTATACCAGACCGGATATTTGTTATGAGCATAAAAGGTAGTCTTAGGCACATACTGATCAATTCCACGGTGGAGGATTGAATAAAATTTCTGCACAATTATGTCAATGGTGTCGCCTCTTAGAGAGTCATTCCAGTCTATACCGTTAAGATATTCATTTAATTTATCGTAGTTAGCCTTCTTGAAGTTATATCTTATCTCCTTTTTTAATTTAATACTAGGCGTCACCAATTCCGACACTTTCAGACATGGATGGCTTGGGTCTTCTTTAACGAGATAACTGCAAGATTTAGACACCTCGATGTATGTGTCACTAAATATTAGGTCTAGTATATTTCCAGAGGAGTTTTTATGATAATTGTACTGACTGAACCCAAGACTACTGCATGCTTCAACAAACCTTGCACCCGCATTTTGTAGGTTTATAGTACCACGTCTAAGGAAGGTGGGATCAAAGGTTGGAGACCAGCCTATGTGGGGTAGATTGAAATCGCCAGCTATGATATAATGATCATTTGGGTGTAATGAGAAAATATATAGGAGAAAGTCTGTAAACGCTGTAAGTCTTACAGACTGCAAATCGTCAGGTGGTATGTATGCAATACATATATGTAGATCGCGTTTATTGCATTCATTCGACGCGAGCGTACTAGCGGGAATAGTCAACCAGGTACACTCAACGCCGTCGCACGTCCACTCGGCCATCTCTTGCGCATGCAGTGACCTTTTCGTACATAACATAACACCGCCGCCCGACGTTTTAGTAGAATTTTTAGAATTCCGATCGAGACGGAGCACATCATATCGGTCATCACATAATTCAGTATTGTAAAAGCCAGAAGTTAACCAAGTCTCGGTGATTAGAATAATATCGAAGTCGTTCATGAGTATGTTCTGTTTTAAATCTAATGTTTTTGTGCGCAATCCACGGACATTTTGATAAAACAAACTTAGGTTATTTGTAATCATTGTTACTATGTGTGAAGGTATAAAAGTGTATGCATATATTTATATATAGTACTAGCGATGAAGACCCGAGATGTTTAAGCACAGAATATTGAGGTTTTAACCGGCGCAAATGTTTGTATTTTTTAATAACATTTAATATCCATAGGCAGGTGTGTAAGTTGTATTTATGTAGAAGAGTGTTTTTATGAGTAGGTATAATGTTCATGTGATTTTTTGTGTATGAATGGTGGTTTTGAATGCTCAAATTAGGTAGTAAGGCTACTATGTAAAATTTAATTTGTTTTGTGTAATATAGGTACTTAATATAAGAACATATAATTAACAGATTTTCTCCAAATCGCGCCTGAAGTTTATTGATATAACAGGAGATTCCTCGTTCCGGCGTAAAAAAATGCAACAATTGCGAACCCACACAAATTTGAAGCCTTTTTTTATAGCAAGAGCTTTTGCCTCTTTCAAAAGTTGCTTGTTTTCTGGGGTCAAATGCTCATTGACAAAGAACTTTTTCGATTCCCCTGACAATCCTATATCCAGTGTTTGAATGCCTCGCTTTCGACGTAAGCCAGATAAAATTTTATCCTTAATATCACGTGATTTTAGGCGCACTACGATTGTCTTTGGTTTACCAGATACAGGTTGTTTCGGTTGAACGCGATTAGCATATTCGATGTGTTCATCCTGCAATACGACGTTTGCATGCTTTGCTATTTTTTTCACTAAGGCGTGTGTGGATTCGTTGGTGGAATGGGGTAACCCAACAATCTCGAGGTTGTTCATCCTATTCCATTGCTGTTGTTTATTTATTTGAGATTGCAGTTCTTTAATAAGGGTATTATTGTTTTGGACATCACTTTTCAAAATATTCACTTCCTCCCTGAGACGCTCAGCCTCGTTCACAAATGGGGTGACAATTGATTTTATCTCTTCCCTTATCTCACCAAGAAGAGACATTTTCAGAGATTCTATCAGCTTAGTTTCTAGGTGTTCAAGTTTGGAGTCTATTGCGTGGTTAATACCCTCTGTTATGAACAGCTGTAACTCATCTTTTGACACGCAACGGTCGCTCAATCCTATATCCTTCTTATTACGCCGCGCCTTTGATGTACGTATATTTTCAGGTGAAATACTTTGACCGCGATCCTCTCTGCGTAAGCATGGAGGACATATCCAGGAAATAATTAATGTCTCCGACGCAATATTCGCACATTCGATATGACAGCCTCTGAAGCATTTTGTACACCTGATTTGTGTACTTATATCCAGGTCTCTGACGCAAGCAATACACTTCGGCATTGTTTGTTATTTATTTATATTTACTCAATTTATGATTCCAAGCGAAAAAGAAAAATAAAAAAATAATAAAAAAATCTCAGATATGATCCTTATTACACTTCAGATCAAGATACCAAAGAGCTATCTATGGACAGGTGCCAATCAGTTGCCGACAAATGTTGCGAATAAATTGTACATAACACAGCTTAAGTTATTCAAAAATGTTCTTACGTCTTATAATCAAAGTATTGATTATCACAAATCACTTCTAAAACAGACGACACTTCACTTTCACTATAGTTCTTATGATATGACTCAGACTACGAAGAATGATGACCAATTATTCCCAACGAAGTATGACGGTTAATCAAAAAATTTTCACAACTGAATAATTACAGTATACATATATCTTTGCTTGCTTCTACACGATATATGTTGTAGGCGATAGCTTAGTTTATTATAATCCCTTTATTGAACCTTATTATGCACTTATTCTATTTTTAATCACAAAAATTATGTCGAGGCGACTTTGACTTTGCCTAGGTACCCCTCTAAGATGTTGTTTGGGTTCATTTATTTAGAAGCAGACCGAGGGGCAAGTGGAAGGCGGTTGCAAGTCTTATTAACAGCGCGGGAACATGAAGAATGGTCTTGTTCTCCTACACTCGGGTATGGCAAGGGAGACCGAGTGGTGTTTAGGAAATAGGTGCGACAGGGATAGAAAATGAGAATAGAGAGGACTATAGGTACTTCGATGGCGTGAACAATAACTACAGAATTCATTTTTTTTTCAGATTTCTAGATTTCAGAGAATTAATATGAGTTTACCAAATTTATTAAGAATTTGACTTTGAAATATGTATTAAAACATTATTCACCATGGTTCAAGTATTACGTCACGCAAGATTCTTGTATCTTTAACGCGCTGTGACGTTTTTCTGTACCCAATAGTAAAACGTTTCGTGGCCACTAGTGACTCTTTATACCTAGAAGTTACCATTATGTGGTGTAAAGTACTGGAAAGTCGAAAATATTATCAACAATGAAAACGCGTAATCCAATCCCCGCTCTTTTTGTTTTACAAAAGGACCCCCCCCACCCTAAATTCGTTACGTAATACTTGAACGCTCCCTTACCATCCATTTCTCGAATCAAGGTTCAGAAAGGAAAGAAATATGATTTAATTAATAAACTTAATTTAGTCATATTTGTGAATGAAATGTTCCAGCATGTACCCCCCCCAAGCCCCAAGCCGTGGTGCAGCGTCGGCACACGATCAGCTGCGGAAGTCCCGTCTCCAAAAGACCGCATCTCAGCATCGAACAGGTATTTATATGAAGATAGTTCAGAGCTTTGTTTTCATCACTTTTATTATTTATGCCTAGACCGAAATGGATTTTGTTAAAAAAGATCTCCACCGAAAAAGGGACACATTTGATTTATTTGTGGGCAATAAGAAAATGCCACTGATTTTTTATGTTTTACCTACAAAAAAGGAAAATTTAAATATTTACTTAGTCAAGTCAAGTCCTATTAGTACAAAAATAACCAATATTTCAATATCACGAATAATATATGGAATTAACTTTAATTATTTAATTATATTCTTTACTTAGCCTACTAATTCCAGGTTTAGTAAACCTTTAAATAAAAAATGTTATCTTTACTTGTGCGCTTTTTACTGTTTGTGATGAAAAGGGACGTAATTACCGCACTTAATAAAATGGATACGTTCACTAACAAATAAAATGTATGAATAGACTCTCGTAGTAACCTCTGCCAAGTCAAACAATGATAGCTGTCGGAATTCTACGGTTTTAAAAATCAGAGCATAATAAGATATTATCGTGTTCCAGTTCTGGCAAGAGCTGCAGCAGCAGAGATGGGACAACGGCGAGGGACCCGAACCCGAAGACGCTCTCTACAGGCGGGACAAGGTACGTCTCGCGTCAGCGTCAGTGCCGGAAGTATTACAAACGCAATTAAAGAAATATATATATATGTTTCAGGCGGTATCGTGCAGCACGGGTTTGCAGCTTTCCCCGCGACCGAGAACCTGTCTCGGGGTGCCCCGGGCCTCGCGAACCCCGATCGTCCCCGTCTGCCCCGAGACCCCGCCCGCCCCCAGAGGGAAGCTCGACAAGAGCCACTCGACTCCGGCCTACGAGCTGGAACCCCCGGCCGCCCTCGTCCCCCTCGCCGACAACCCCATCCCGGAATCCCCGACGACCCCCCCCCGTGCCCGGAGCGGACAGAACCGACCCGCTCCCGAAGCTCGAAGTCGACGACGAAGACAAGTCTCTGGATAATTCCGAAGATAAATACGCCTCATCCGAAGATACGAAGTCGTCGGACGACACTCCGGTGCCGGTTCTGGAGAGTCTGAACTCGGTGCTGATCGAGGAACGAGAGAGCAAAGAGGAGGAGCATCGAGAGGCCTCGGAGCGAGTGACGAAGTCAGTGTATATTCTTAAATATATTTATTTGTGGCTGTCACTTTCTTGATCTTTTAAAAACTGCTAGGTCTGCCCTGATTTTGTTAAAAGGGAAGGTTCGATTGTCTGTTTGCATCGTATGGGCTCCTAATTTAGTGGACCGATTGAAAAATTCATAATCACAGCTAGTGTTTTATATAATTAAAATTGGTTGTCGGAACACAAATTAAATAAGCAATCGTTTATCGCGTTTCATGTTATTATACATATACATATATATATTTTTTATCAATACCTATAACTCGAAAATGTATTTTCTTTTAAAGGTTTACAAATTTGTTGTAATTTGTACAGGGTAACTAGAAATTGTATCAATTTATTTATAGTTTCTTTGTCAAAGGTTCCCACTTATTATGCATCGTTGGAGCTAAAAACGGTTAAACTTGCTTTTTATGGAAATTTGGACCGATTTTTTTTGTTTTTATATGATAATGAAATAACCAGCGTTTTATCATTTTTATAAATCAGAATTTTTTGATGATTTATTTAGGGATATTAAATTATCTCAAAAGACCCCTATCACCCCCCAAACGGGAAAACGTCGAATTACCGACAACCCTGTATAGTACCGTGTCTACTGTACGTAATATGTTATGAATACTTTTCAGATACCCAAAACCGCGTGTAACGGAACGTTCGAAGGTGTCCGACGTCCCTCCGGAGCCTCCCCCGCGCCCGTCCACCCGCTTGCCCCCTCCCCCGCGAGAATACTTGCCCCCCCACCCGCTCCCCAAAGACCCCCCTATGCCCTCCAGAGAGAGGCGAGAGATCGTCCCTCACGATAGAGCTCCCCTCGCGCGCAACGAGTCCTTAGAGGAGAAATTCAACAAAGAAGAGTTCCGAAGGGAGAAGTCGAATCGCGAGCCGATCGGATCCCTCAGCGATTTGAAAATACTGTCGCCCTGTCGGGAGATCCAGCACGTCTTCGAGAGAGACGGCCGATCCCCGAGCGACGAGACCTGGGAGCCGATCTCCATGGGGCAGCCCGTCTCCCCTCTGCGGGAGTGCACAGCCCCGCAGTACCCCGTGCTGAGGATGATCCCGCGACCCGCCGAACCGTCCGCCTCGCCGCTGAAGCCGCTGCGTCCCGGGGACACGACACAGGTACGCTCTGTGCTCAAACGAACTTTAATGAGTAGAACACGTCTTCTAAACTACTGAACTGGTTTTGATAAAATTTTGACTATATAATATATTATACTATAATATATTATATTATAATATATTGCCTAAATATATTAAACGGGTCAAACTGATCTCTTTTGAACCATTATTGACCACCCAGACATACAGAATAAGTAATTCCAGATCTCGGTGCCCCTCCGTCACCTCACGAAGCACGACATAAAGCTGGTGTCGAACGAGCGTCGGGAGATGCCCCCCATAAACGGGGAGCCCCAGCGCCGCGACGGGGACATCGTGATCGGGGCCGCGAGCGACCAGTCGCTGGATTCCCCTCACTCCCCCAAGGGGGCGGTCTCCCCGACCGGGAGCGTCGTGAGGGGGATATTCCCCTCCGCCAAGTCCAGGAGCCTCAAGAAGAAGAACTCCATATTAGCCAGTGGGTTTCTATTCTTTGACGATTAGTTTATTTAACTAATGCATAAATGAATTTTCAAAATAATGTGAACTCCCCCAGAGCGTCGCGCGGTGCCGGCTCGGGCGCTGTCCTCGGTGGGGGCGGCGGGGTGGGTGAGCCAGAGGGTGAGAGCCGCCCAGCAGCAGCCGCGCTGGGCGCATCGCTATCTGCTGCTCGCCCACAACTTGCTCTACGCCTATCGGTCGCCGGAGGTAGCTTTTTGACTGAGATAAATCATTAATCGCTTGCACCCGTACATGTGTTGCGTCTGCGCAGAGCACCCGCGCCGACTGCATGATCTACCTGGAGGGCTGCACGGTGAGTGCGGCGGGAGAGGTGAAGTCCCGCGCCCACGCCTTCAAGGTGTACCACACGGGCCGCGCCTTCTACTTCGCGGCCGCCTCCCCCGACGCCCTGGCCGCCTGGACCCAGCTCATCCACCGGGCCACGCTGGCCCCGCCCCGTCGGCTGGACTCGCAGGTGTGCACCTCGCCCTTCTCCTTTTTTATAGAACGGGAGTGAGCGGGCAAGAAACTCACCCGATGCCCACGGTCACTAGCGGTCGATTCCATCTATCCTCTGTTGCAGGTCGAAATCAAACAGTTCTCGGAGACGGATTACTCCGAGACGGAGTCGGACACGGAGAGCCCCGAGAAGAGAGAGCGAGACAGAGACAAGGAGAAGGACAAGTCCAAGTTCGGATCCCTGAAGAAGCTGGCGCAGCGGGGCCGAGGGGACTCGCACGAGAACGTGCACCAGGCGGCCGCCAGCACGAGCCTCGACCGCAAGTACCTGAGGTTCTTCTCGCGGACCAAGGGCAAGGACGACTCCAAGGGCAAGGTAATTCTATAGGCCGGCACGCACCGCGACTCGACGAACACTTTGTTTATAATAATAGAGCCATACTATTAAAATGCAATGTTATCGCGACCCTAATGTATATCTGCAACTTTGGCCACTAGCTAATATTGTCGTATAATTTGAATTTTTTAAATCATTTTGAATAACTTCAATAACTTTTTTGGCGCGTTACGGAAAAATGATGCGAGTAAATTTTTACGATGCGCGCGTACACCGTCACAAAAAACCGACACCCGCACACCGTCACAGAAAAAAGCCACCCTGATAGTCAACAATTCAAAAAAAAAAAAAAAAAACGTGTGGCACTCGGGGACTGCCGCGGTAAAGCTATTGCATAGCATTTTTTATCAACTTATCCAATTATAATTATTTATTTATTTTTTATTTATGCAGTATTTTTTTCTTTGATATTATTTATATATAGTCTGTCTCACTCTAACGCATACCGGCTGAACCGGTCGCGCTTACGCTACGTCATCGATCTCGTCAGAGAGATGTGATCAGCAGTTGGTCAATGTTCGAATGAAATCTAAACAATACAGTTCACACATTCCTTACTAAAAGTTATTTTCATCGTAACCTTAAATCGCGTAGAAGTAGAGCCGTCGTCCGGCGAGTTGTAGAAACGGGGCCTCGATTTCAGACCAAGCAGCAGCCGGCCCCGGTGCCCACGGAGCAGTACCGCAGCTACCGCCGGGCCCCGCCCCAGCCGCCCCCGCACTCGCCCCGTTCGCCCCCGCGCCCCAAGCCGAGCCCGATCAACTACATCCACGCCTCGAACCCCAACCTGCTGGACTTCGAGAGGAGCGAGCCCTTCTCGCCCCGCCCGGCGCTCGCCGTCAAGCCCCGGCCGCAGGACAAGCTGGTCGGCCTGGTGACGCTGGAGGAGTTCATGCTGCGCGCGCAGGCCGAGGAGCGGCGCCAGCTGTACTCCGAGCGGGTGCTGCTGGGCGTCGCGGACCGCGACCTGCAGACCAGGCTGGACCGGGTGGTGCCCGACGTGGTCTACGGGCGGGTGCCGCGTCACGGGTAAGTGTCGTTACGTCTCACGTTCGACGCCGGGTGGGAAAGGCTGAAGTGAATAATCCCGTTCTGACGCATTGCAGCTACGAGAAGATAGAGTTCCCGGACGACCGCCAGGACTCCTTCAGGAAGAAAGACAAGGTCGGTTATGTCAATACAGTAATAGTATTGCTAGTTTTAATTAAATTAAGTTTTAAGTTAATGCTTTGCTTTTTAAGTTTAAGTTGTGCATTTGGAGTCGGATCTATGTGTAAACTAGATGAGCCGGTGACTTCGTATCACTCATATATATTTGTGTCAAAACTTTATGCAAATTTTTAAATCAGATCACAGAGATCTCACCCTACAGCTATGAAACCCAAATTTCTAAACTCATAATAACTTTATTCATATAGGTTACCAAATACACTTATGAACGTCAACAGAAAAGCTAAATTGATTCTAAATTAACATTTACTACCAGTTCACAAGTCAAGGGCGAAGAGCGGGAGAGAAGAACTGGCAAGAAACTCTTCGCCAGTCTTTTAAATCGCCAAGTTTTGTGTCCTACGAATTCATTTTGGAGTTCTGTGTTTTGAACTTTTAAAACGACACAGTTTATATTTCTATAAAACAAGTTTCCGTGTCTTTTTAATGTAGTTATTAATTTTAATCTATAAATATATGACAACCGACTGACATTTTTATTGGAAAATTCAATTGTCGTTTTAAGTAATTTTCTTTACTTTATTATTGAAGTTTTCCACCGTTTAAACATTCCCTAAACTTCCACAAATATTCCAATATCAAAATTAGCCAAATCGGTCGAGCCATTCTCGAGTTTTATTAAATTAATAGCAATTAATTTCTATATAATTATCATTTCACCTTCGGTCGCACGCAGTAAAAGACGGTCTACTTCTAGGTCCAAGGGTCGGCTTCCAGCTCCCCGCAAGCGCAGCCCGCGGCCGAGAGGTATATATTTAATTCACCAAAAAGTACAACATATTGTATGTTTTTATCTCGATACACAAACAGACATTAGTTCATTGTTTGGCAAAATTTATAAAGTTCTTTTAAAGTCTTCAGTAATAAAGCGTTGAGGCCAAAATGGAATACTTTTTATCAATTCGTATATCGGTAAAGTAACTAAAACTAAAAGATAGGTTTAAAACACGTCAGTTGTAAGATTCAGGGTCGAGACTTCATTATTGAAAAGTTAAATGGTCCCGTTCCAGTGGTGGTGGAGGTGGTGGAAGTGGAGGAAGTGGAGGAGGTGGAGGCGGGGCCGGCGTGTCGCGTCTGAGGCTAATGTTCGGGGGACGGCAGGTACGTACTTAACTGGTCGCTTAACTTTACGATTGAGTCGGGGATACATGTCGTGCGTCCCTTGCCCCAGGGCGCCGAGCGGGGTCGGGCCGCGGGCCAATACCCTCACCTGCAGTGTCCGCCCACCTTCCAGCCCGAGACCTACTGCCTGGCGAGGCTGGCGCCCAAGCAGCCCTGACCGTGAGCGTCTTCGGAGCCCGGCGACCGTTCTTGTCATTTCGGGAACCCTGCGACCACTCGAAGAGGACTCGGATGAAGTTGAGACAATAATGGGTCATCTCGTCGATATGTTTTTTGTACTGACGCCTGTATATAGCGGTTTACCTATAAACATCACCGCTCATTAGAATTAAGAGTGGGACGAAATGTTCTGTTCTGTTTGATTAATGTTAAACAAATTGGATTCTAACTCCTCCCGCTTCGATCCTTTGTCGTACTCGGTTATCGCTTATGATATATTAATGACTGATTTAATTGCATCGATGTCTCTGCGTACGATTACTTATTACATTGAAAAAATGAATGTTTACTAGTAGTATAATATCGATTGACGCACAATCGTTAATTTAACTGTGACTGTAACTTAATGTGAGGTTGTAAAAATACTTCAAAGACTTTCGTTGATGTTTTGAATTTTATTAACATTTAAAATTGTGCCAAATTGTACGTCCACGAAGTATACTTATTATGAGCACGGAATAAATGGGGTCGGAAGGATCGTCGGTCGCTTCCTAAAATTGCCCGTTGCCTCCAGAGATGTCTCCAGAAACTTCTTCGGCACACCTTCAGTGTCCCCGTTATCCTTCCAGCCTCAATCACTCCAGGAATGTCTAAGTTTAAGAAATGCTTGTAGTTGGTGACAGTTTGAACTGATGCCATTTGTGGTGCTATCTTACATGGGGCCGCTCTAGATGGCGACGAATATCTTGTAATCACTCATAAACGTCTCTCGGCTAACTATTATTTAACTTAACGTTGAATTAGCTCTTAATGTTGAACTTTGAGGCTCAGTCTTTATAAGGGTAAGTATTAATGCGAGGGTACTCGCGCGTACGAGTCGACGAAGGTACGTATACGTACGTATTCGCAGAACAATCATTGATCGTGCTATTAAATGATAATTGTTATTGATATTTAGGTAAAGGTTAAATTTAGGGCACATATTACTTAGGATTTTGTAAAGCTGATAGCACTCGAGATATTTTAAATCGTTATTTCGTAGAGAACCTCGATGCTGTGATATTTATTAAGTTTTTTTTTAATTTCGATAATATTAAACTTAATATTTGGGCACTTCGACCTAAAATTGTTTATTTCACGAAGCAACATGGCGTCCAATAATGTCTATAAGGATAAATTTTATACGAATACGTTTCAACTGAAAGATTGTAATCGTGGAGTTGCCGAAAACATATAATTTTGCTTTGAATTGTGATTTCGTAAAATATCGAATACTTTACAACGACGGGTGATGCTTCATACAATGTCTCTTTTAACAAACACTAAAGACGTGTTTGACGTCTACTGGTGACGGGCAAATTAGACCGAATTAGTTTTAATATGGGTGTTACGATTTTGATATTTCTACTGATCTTTAGAGGCTCTAGATAAGAATACCTATATAACTTTAATTGGTCAACTTTTATTTTGATTAATTGATTTCAAGCTAATGTATCTATTTATAGATTAGATAACAAATTATGAATTTGTAATAAATAATCGCGTCAGCAAAGTTTTTTTAAAATGATTTATATTAACGTTTACGTCATCGTTATATTTGGCGTAGGTACCTACGCTTATTTTACCTACGACAACCATTAAACTTCTCGGTCTAAAAGTTATGCATAAGCGAATTTTAGTATCGTGAGCAATTAATATTTAACATTGTGTTCCTTAGTAAAAAATTCATGATATGCGCGTCTTATAATGCTCAATTTTGACAATTATTTGCCAAATATAGAGGTTGTTATATAGTTGTATCTTTTTTCAATATAACAGTGCTTTATACAAATTTCACATATGGTTTCCGAATCGGCTTTTAGAATTGCAACTAATATACTCACAAAATAATCTTATATTATCTTTGGTTGTAAAATATATATTCGTAAAAATAGTACGAGTTAAAAAAAAAATTAGGAAATCACGAAATTATTGTATCGGTATTTTATTGATTTTGATTTTCATGAACTTTTTTTGGACTCCCGTGCATTTCGTACCTGTCAAGTTTAAATATCATCTTTATACGTAGGCTATAACATCACTTATAGGAACGGATCTGCAATGAGAATTTTGAATGTTCCTAAAACGGGAAAAGATCAAGCTTATTGCGGTTAAAGCTACGTCACGGGACAAATACGGGAAATGTGTGGCTATTGTTGTGAAAATGGGAACAAGCAATAAGCTGATTTTAGTATAATTAGCGTAAAACTCTCAGCAACTGCCAGAGCTATCGAAATAAAATCGGCCTATACATTTTACACCTGGTAATATCACGAAGTTATTATGGAAATGAAGAATTATAATATAGTAGACAATCTTTTTTGATAATATAATTAAAAAAATAAAGAGCATTGACGTACTTGTGACGTTTGTGACGTACGTGTTTCCATTAATTTATTTAAATTATCAGTTTTAACACAATTATCATTAATTACCTGATAGTATTGCTCTGACGCAGTTAAAGCATGATTCATGAGACAAGTTTTTATTCCTATTAGTTATTTGTATTTTAATTTGTTAAAATTAATCTTTTAATGTTAGGTATTGCTCTTGAGTTATCTTTAAACTTATCTCGAACATCGCTTAGCCCGGATGAGGCGGTGGTAATTTTTTTATAATAATTCAGTTTTGAATAAGCTAATTAGTAAATTATGTTTTGCTGGTTGCTAAGGCATGTTAGACACATATCAAAACTCTCTAACTCGGTGGTAATATCTTCGCAAGGCCGACGTCAAAGTTTAGCCGTCTAGCTATTACAGTAAAAATCATTTATTATTAGATCGTTCGCAGATGTGATCGAGTTAAAAAATAAACTTTGATTTAATATCATTAATAATAAATTAATATACAACGATGCGTACTGTAGTTAGTATATTGAATGGTGTTGGCAGTGATACTCAGCTTTATAAGTAGATAGGGAATTATATAACTTGTATTTATAAGTTTATTATTTGCTAGTTTATCAGCGGTTTAAGTTCTAGACCAACGAAGATTTTTTAACTGCTCTGTAAGTTTAGGTACTGTTGTACCTTAACAATATTGATTTCCATCTTTAACTACGTATTTGTAAGTTGATTTTTATAAGTATGAATTTTAACTAAACATTTTCTATTAAGCATTTGAATTATTTAGTTATAATTTGTATATAACGTATAAAATGATTTACAACGGAATTTCGTCTATACTGAGATGCAGTAAGGGTAGATTAAGTTTTTCTTTTGTAATCTTTTGTTAATATGAATACCATTGTACGTCAGTTCAATTATTTAATGAATAAAACATTTTTATATTATTTTGATCGTTTTATTTGTGACTATTACAGCCAAAATCGGAGCTAACAGTTATCTCAATAATTATAATTCTGACATAGATAATTATATATTTATTAATCTCTGCACCTCAGCTTTTAAATTTGATGCCCCACTAATTACTTACCTACTGATATAAAAGGGCAGTGAAATATCTTAATTACGATCGTAACTATGAAGACCTTATTCAAATCTTTACCAAATGGCTAAAGTGACTTAACTCTTAATGCCCTACTCTGAGAACAGCTGTTACGACTATCACAACTAAGTTAAAAAAATATTTTAATTTATTTCTTTACGAAAAGGAACATTTCCTAGCCACCCTTAAGCGGCCCACTTAAGCCTACGAATAGTAAGGAACCGAGACTGGACGGCCTATGCAAGGATACTAACGCGAATATAATGTTTGACAGGAAAGGAGTTCTATGCCTATCGTAATTTTTTATGAGTTTGAGACATGTCATGTCACGATAATTGGAGTAGGAGTAAGTGTTTATTGCACTGAAAATGGTAACATCCATTCCCATTGGTTCAAAGCTGTGATTCGATCGCACGACCTCGGGCTTAAGATCCGCACGATGAAGCCATTAGGCAAGCACTCTGATTACGCGAGTTGTTCAGAATTCACTTGAACACCGCTTACGTGGTTGTTCGAAATTTTAATTTGAAGCTTCGCGATATACCTACAGCTCACGTGTGTAATTATTATATATTACGTGTAAGTTGGATTTAAGCTGTTTTATAACAATAAATCAGATTTGAATATTGATCTTAATCATTTCATGCTTCCTCTCAAAGTGGCGGAGGCTCCAAGCCCTTAATTATCGTGGTGAGCCTGCCTGATAGCTTTGAGATAATCCCATCATCTTTGATTCTACCCGTAGGGCTACGGCTATACCTGAGGCCTCTTGGCGCAGACATTCCGTACTTCACTAAGTATATATTTATAAATATATATATTCACTATTTATGTGCTACTAAAACTTCCTAACTTTAATAATAAAAATGTTATTTAAAGATGGAATTAACTAAATAATATTATTAAAAAGGCTGGCCATTAGTCTCGCAAAAGACTCCTTGTCAATTGTTATCTAAAATCTGTTATAGATGTCGTATCGTATCGTATAAAAATTGTATGTCATGGGGTAATCGTATTTGTAGTAACTTTTTATTGATAACATTTTAAACGACATCAAATGACAAATGAATGTTAACTACATTTCATTAGACAAAGTCAAGGAAAGCCTTACAATAAACTACAAAAATTTTCCTTAACATTTGAAGAAACCAAATGAGAGGGAATAAAAATGCGAAAGCCGGTAAAGGAAGCACAAAGTGCATTATACCGTGATCTCGAATGTAATTAGCATAATTAATAAGAGGATGAGAATTAATTAACGGAGTGTTCAGAGTTACATTTTTAAAGGAACTCTACTTTTCCTCTGTCCATTGAAATTTAATTAATACTTTATGACATTCCATTTCGCTTTTGGAGAAATTTTCTTACTTTATTTTACCTTTATTACAAACTAAGAAAAGTCTATTTTTTTAGAAAAGTTTACCAGTAATTAATATTCCGAAAAAATGCAAATTTTCACCCTTGTCACGTCATCTCTATTAAGACTAGCCATGTTCACAGGAGATATAGTGA